AATTATCAACAGACTCTAGAACATTGTCACTAATCAGTGTTTAATTATCAACAGACTATAGAACATTGTCACCAATCTGTGTTCAATTATCAACAGACTATAGAACATTGTCACCAATCTGTGTTTAATTACCAACAGACTATAGAACATTGTCACCAATCTGTGTTTAATTATCAACAGACTCTAGAACATTGTCACCAATCAGTGTTTAATTATCAACAGACTCTAGAACATTGTCACCAATCTGTGTTTAATTATCAACAGACTCTAGAACATTGTCACCTATCTGTGTTTAATTACCAACAGACTCTAGAACATTGTCACCAGTCTGTGTTTAATTATCAACAGACTCTAGAACATTGTCACCAATCAGTGTTTAATTATCAACAGACTCTAGAACATTGTCACCAATCAGTGTTTAATTATCAACAGACTCTAGAACATTGTCACCAATCTGTGTTTAATTATCAACAGACTCTAGAACATTGTCACCAATCAGTGTTTAATTATCAACAGACTCTAGAACATTGTCACCTATCAGTGTTTAATTACCAACAGACTCTAGAAGAACATTGTCACCAGTCTGTGTTTAATTATCAACAGACTCTAGAACATTGTCACCAGTCTGTGTTTAATTATCATCAGACTCTAAAACATTGTCACTAGTCTGTGTTTAATTACCAACAGACTATAGAACATTGTCACCAATCTGTGTTTAATTACCAACAGAATTTAGAACATTGTCAACAGTGTGTTTAATTATCAAAATGAAAATTGATAGGAGAGGTCAAAGGTGCTGGACTGAATTTCATCGATGATGTTATAGGAGTTATACAGGATGGAGGATAATGGAGGGATGGACTGTGTACCTATGTGACATATATTAGCACAGTAGGACTTTGAGGATGAAGATGATATGAAGAAAAGCAGTAGTAACACAGCATTTTGATTGCTACTTATAAAAATAGCAATAATGTAGCAATTTGATTGCTACCTGTGAAAAATAGTTAATCACACATGATTCGTTTACTTAAAACAAGACACTTTATTAATATACCGAAATGATCTTGTAATTCAATTAATAAATTTTAGTTGTAAAAATTAGTCCACTATTTAACAGCCATATGAATTTTATTTTATTTGTTTTATTTCATGTATGCCATAATTAAAATGAAAGATTTAATTATGTAAACAACAATTCATAATTATGCTGTATTATTTTTGTGTTAGCAAAGTTAATTAATCATAATCACATAATGACATAACAGCCAGTAAAAAAAAGTCAGATTTTTACAGGAATAGGTTCTAAATACACCATTGGCAGAAATGTTCCATCTGAAATCAGTTCAAATCTAAACATAACCACAGATACTACAGGAATAGGTACTAAATACACCATTGACAGAAATGTTCCATCTGAAATCAGTTCAAATCTAAACATAACCACAGATACTACAGGAATAGGTTCTAAATACACCATTGGCAGAAATGTTCCATCAGAAATCAGTTCAAATCTAAACATAACCACAGATACTACAGGAATAGGTTCTAAATACACCATTGGCAGAAATGTTCCATCAGAATCAGAAATAACCACAGATACTACAGGAAATAGGTTTCTAAATCAGAAATGTTCAGTTCAATCTAAACATAACCACAGATACTACAGGAATAGGTTCTAAATACACCATTGGCAGAAATGTTCCATCAGAAATCAGTTAAATCTAAACATAACCACAGATACTACAGGAATAGGTTCTAAATACACCATTGGCAGAAATGTTCCATCAGAAATCAGTTAAATCTAAACATAACCACAGATACTACAGGAATAGGTTAAATAACCATTGACACCATTGAAAATCAGAAATGTTAAACATCACAAACTCAGGAATTTCTAAATCACCATAAAATGTTCCATAAAATCCACAGATACTACAGGAATAGGTTCTAAATACACCATTGACAGAAATGTTCCATCAGAAATCAGTTAAATCTAAACATAACCACAGATACTACAGGAATAGGTTCTAAATACACCATTGACAGAAATGTTCCATCAGAAATCAGTTAAATCTAAACATAACCACAGATACTACAGGAATAGGTTCTAAATACACCATTGACAGAAATGTTCCATCAGAAATCAGTTAAATCTAAACATAACCACAGATACTACAGGAATAGGTACTAAATACACCATTGACAGAAATGTTCCATCAGAAATCAGAAAATCAGTAACCACAGAATCTAAGGAATAGGTAACCAAATACACCACCAGAAATGTTAGATCAGAAATCAGTTAAATCTAAACATAACCAGTTAACCACAGGAACAATGAGTATACACATTATTTGTATGTTGAAAGAAGCTGAATGTAGATTTATGAAGGTACAGTGTGATAGAGATTCTAGTTATTCAGTAATAAATTGGGTAATTATTTAAAAATGAAGTTGTTCATCTTAAAAATAAAGAATAGACCATTAAAAACCCTAGTGATTAATGCAGAGCAATATGCATTTATGAATAAGACTATTTATGAAATGTTTGTTTAAAACAAAAAGGGCTGATTGTTTAAAAAAAAAAAAAAAGAAGGTTCTCTTATTTGTAGTTTGTGTGCACATTTATGAATTAGTTTAATTTCTTGTAATTTTTCTCCAGCTTGGTAGTTCAATAACAGTTGAAGAAAATGGGCAAGTTAAAAATATTTGACATCTCCTTCTCCAACCTGAGTGGTGTCTTTTACGCTGGTACTGTCCTACAAGGACAAGTCACAGTTGAGTTAGCTGAACCTATGAAAATGAGAGGTGTGTCATTTATGTGTTTTCTTTTTCCTTTCATGTGCGTCACATTCACATAAGTAAGAATACATATTACATTTTCAATATTAATGACTCTTTTTCCCTCCTACCTGTCAAGTCTAAAAACACTGTAAAACACTGTTTTACATAATTTAATACCTCATATGATTCATAATACAGTATCTTCATTATGGCTTCATAGGCAGAAAGTCAAGTACTGTTTTCATGCCATTATTGTATTGAACATATGGTGCTAGAACCATATTAATATAGACCAGTCAGCACTAAATGTTGATGTGTTCACCATCTTGCTGGCTGCCTTTACATCTGAAGATATTTTTAGTATCCATTTTAGGCTGAGTCGACCTGAAGCCAAAGTATTTTTGTACAAATGTGCTAGGAATGCAAATCTGAACCCAAGATCTCCTAGCTGGCAGGGAAACATTTTACCACTGCATTACCATAGCTTCTCATGGACATGGACAGTTGTGACAACTGCAGCCTGATTATGTCTTTAGCTTGAGTATTGAGTGTCAGGTAGCTGTTTGCTCTTGCATCTTGTTACATCTAAATATAAAGTTCAACAGTCTAAGATATAAAGTTTCAAGTTGGAATAAAGAAAGAAGGTCAAGATGAGACTTAAACTGGCCTGTTCTGTCATGACAGGACTAGCAGAGCTGTGATGACAGTATCAGCTTCCCTGGGACTATCCAGATCTCTGACATATTTCTATTTTTTTTGGATTTGAATGCTGAATATTAATGGCAGTGTGAACTGAAGGATCATCATCATCATGTGTCACATTAATTAACTTTGAGGGTCATGATTCACCATCTCACATGATCACAAAAACCATGGATCAGGTCTTTGCTTTTGTCTCACTCAAGCTATACAGGTGTTTATTTCTTGTTCTTCCCTTTGTTCCTTTTCCATCAGGTTTGCCTCCTGTCAGCAAATGTTATAGTTTATGTGTCATAAATAACATACTAACAGAATATTGGCTGTCTACTTTTAATTTATCTAATTATTAATTTTTCTGGTTTTTTTTTCTGTCTCAGCCATATTGTTGATCAGACAATGGTATCGAGAGCCGATGTTCAGAATGCAATGGCAAACTGCTGAATGTAAAATTGGCTAGTAAAACCAAACAGCAGAAAAAAAAAATAATATGATTAGGTTGGTTCTCAAATATACTGTAAAGAAAATGTAACTAGCCTACCTTTGACCCTTGTTTCAAATGTCACATACATTAAAAATACTGTATGCTTATTGAAATTTTTTATCTTGGTACCTTTGAAAAAAATTGCCATTGCTTTCATTTATTCACAGTGGCCATACTGATTAGATCCCCTTAGCCATTTTCGCTATAGTATGATCCAGTCAGCCCCTTCCCCCCTATCCCCCCCCCCAAAAAAAAAATTTGAAGTAGCAGATCAGTTAACTTTTTTAGTGTCACAAATTGCTGGTGCAACTGAATCTGTGACACCGAGTCAATCCCCTCACTGGGATAGTACTTTGACAACCGTCTTCTCCATAATGTTGCCAGACTTTCTCACCACTATAATTATGTCCCTGTGTATGCTGACTCAGGGTCCAAAAGAAAGCATACAATACTAGAAATATTTGTTACTTCTAAGACTAAATTAAATCAACAGGAAACCCTAAATGGAGAGAATGGATCTTCTTAACTCCAGCTCAGTTTATCATCCTCGCCCAAAGTGCCCTTTTCCTGACTTCAGCATTATCATTTTTACAATCCGTAGTCTAACTTTGTAACTGCTGGTCAGATGTTGTACAGATACAACTGACTTTATGAGAAGAATTCCAGTATTTTTGTCTTTATCCTTTTCATGTTGCTGTTGACACATAAGGCATTTACAAATGATGTGTATTGCTACCGGTTTGTTGCTTTTCTGACTGTGGTATCCAATGCTATTTTATATTTCTTCATTTCCCTTTCTGCTGTCCTTCCCCAGAGTTCCTTAAGTCATCCACATATAATTTTTCTCTCTGCCGTCTATCGGAGAGCTGTGCTTACCAAAGTATAGCGAGGCATTCTGCTGACATGAGAAAATATTTGCTGATATGTGATCTGGCTTTTTTCCAGGGATAACACTGAGATTTGAAGGAAAGGCATATGTTCACTGGACTGAAACACAGCATGCTAATGCAGCACACCATCACAGAGGTGGAGTAGGACATCACAGAGGTGGAATAGGACACAACCACCATGGGACAGCCGCAGGACATCATACTGACCACTATACAGCAAACGAAGTTTACTTTAATCAAGATAGCTTGCTGTGTGGCATTTGTAAGTGTGTTTATATTATTTAGTTTTTAAGAGAAATTGTTACAATCTTAACAAAGCTTGAATTACAGGGGACATTCAAAAACTAGGGTAAACAAATCAATTCAGTGCTTGTTAAAGTTGAATGAATCAAGTCATTAAGTTACTTCCGGTTATGACACAGTCGCATAATGGTGATATATGGCCATGTGTGAAGTGACCTGTTCTCAAAAAGTATAGTTCAATTCCACTGGTTCTACGATGCTATTTCCATCACCACACTTTCTGCCTCTCGCTGATGACAAGAGGAGAGCCAGGGTGAATGATCACATATGGTGACTTTCCCTGTAGGAAAATGATTGTCAAGTGCTTTCAGTGAGATCTTTAGATTGTCTTTGAAACAATTCTTTTGTCTGCCTTGGGGATATTTGTTTTGAGGTATTTTCCTGCAGAAAATTCATTTAAGCTTTTAAATGATCTTATGAGTGAGGTTTTAAGGGAAGATCTATTAAAAGATTGTTGGGGTTCACATAGGAAGATAAAGTTAGCAATTCTAGATTACAACAAATGGCAGACTTATAAGATGTAAATTTAGAAATAAAAAAATTAAAAACAGAGATGGAGGTGGATTTTACACATCCTCTGAATGAAGAAAGAAAGACGGCCAAGACAAGCGATGCAATAGACACCATAAGGACAGCGAGAAAAAGGCAGGCCCACAGGCACTTGGAGGCGAATCTTTGAGGCTGAACTCAAGGCTACGCGAAGGATAAAACTGAAGATAGAGAGGATGGCTCAGGATCGAATTGAATGTTGACTGTTTGTCTCTGCCTTATGTCCCTCTGGACGCATGAAGACTGATTAATTTAGCAGATGTTTTGGGGAATTAAAAAACAGGGACACAAGAAACTGGTTACCCCACACCTATTACGCTACAGTGAAGTACATGTAGAGGACTCACATTTGAGGTCACTAGGTCAGTGTGTGTTTTGCAGTCATCTTTTTTTCTAATTTTGAAATGTTATAAATAAGAGTATGTGTTTTGTGAGTACTGACTGTTTCATTTTTGCATTTAGATGAGATCACTTTTCCCAGAAATTTATTTAGGTTAACATGTAATTTAAAATACTCACCTGCACAGTCATTGCGACAGCACTAGCCCTGCGACTGTAAATCCTCAGACTCAAAGACACCCCACCGACACTGCAATAGTGGTAAAATAAAGGCAGAAATTGGCACTTTTTACTGTATTTTTAAAAGTCTGTCACAGACATAGTAAAGTCAGAAGTAAATGATTTGCTAAGAAATATTTAAAAAAATGTATAGTTAGCGAATTTATGCAAGAATACCAAGCCCAGGAAGGACCATAAAGGATCAACAAATTACTCTTTGCTGATGATCAGCTAACCATCCCTCTTACAACAGAAGGCAGTGCTGATCAGCACACAGAAACATCTCATACAAAGCTGATTCATAACAACAAACCATAAGGGAAAATTGGTAACTATGGATATGAAATGTCTAAGGGCTGCAGGAGTTACCGGAATAGATAAAAACCAGAAATGAGGTTGTTGAAGAAAAAAAAAGTCGGCACCAAACCAGTTCTAACCTACATACAAAGACAGCAAATGAGATGGTTTGCCCACTTAGATAGAATTCCTTGTGATACCATAGCTAGCATGCGAGGTATACACCAAAGAGAAGAATGACTTAGACCATGAGGTAGACCAAGTACAATATGGAAAGATATCACAGATACTACAACAGCACAATGTTAATATGGTTGAGGCAGCCAGGAGAGTAAGAAGCAGAACCTTTTATATCCCTGGACACCTGAAGCAGTGAAAGAGGAAGTAAAAAGTAGAGGTAAATCAGTCAACAGATCATTCTCACTGCATATGTAACCATTAATTTCCAAGGGGCCACGTTAGTGCATTTGATAGGAGACTTGCTCGCAAATCCAACTAGGACTCGCTGCAGCCCAGGGCGGGTGTTCGAAACTGGGTAGTTCCTGGGGTTCACCCAGCCTTTAGGTAATAGGAACCATAGTTAACACTCTGAGGTAAATCGAGGAACATTGCTGTAGCTATGGAGTTGCATGCAGACGGCGACACAGACGGACAGTTTCTAATCAGCTGTCCGTACTGGTGGCAGAGCCCTTATGGTTTATAACTGTGTGCAATGACGCTGGTTCACATCTCCCGACTTTACCTTTACCATTTATTCCCATAAGTGCTGACATCCCCTACTCTGTATATCCCTCCCTACTCTGAATATCCCTCCCTCCTCTGTAGATCCCTCCCTACTCTGTATATCCCTCTCTCCTCTGTAGATCCCTCCCTACTCTGTATATCCCTCCCTCCTCTGTATATCCCTCCCTCCTCTGTATATCCCTCCCTCCTCTGTATATCCCTCTCTCCTCTGTAGATCCCTTCCTACTCTGTATATCCCTCCCTCCTCTGTATATCCCTCCTTCCTCTTTATATCCCTCCCTCCTCCGTAGATCCCTTCCTACTCTGTATATCCCTCTCTCCTCTGTATATCCCTCTCTACTCTGTATATCCCTCCCTACTCTGTATATCCCTTTCTACTCTGTAGATCCCTCCCTACTCTGTATATCCCTCCCTACTCTGTATATCCCTCCCTACTCTGTATATCCCTCCCTACTCTGGATATCCCTCCCTACTCTTGATATCCCTCATTGTGTAGCGACCAACAATGCCAGTTCTGTGTTGGTTTATTATCTTTTTTTTTTAATTTCTGCAAGGTGTCTTGTCAGGACTCACCCCATTTGACTTGCTATTTTTGCAGTCTGGTCTTTCAGTGGAGGAAACATTTATATTTTTATAAAACAACAAAATTAAAATTTGTGGTAATTTGCCTCGTACTTTTTTTATGTTTGCACAGTTCCAAATCAAGGCAGCAATACCATTGACTTACTGCCAGGACGACATGTTTATCCATTTCAATTCCAACTTCCAAATGGACTTCCATCCTCTTTTGAGGGTGTGTTTGGTCATATCCGGTATACTGTCAAATGCACAATAGATAAGCCTTGGAAATTTGATCACACAACAAAGCGGCCATTCACTGTTATCAGCATACTGGATTTAAATCAGCAGCCAAACTGCTTGGTAAGTAAATTTTATACATGATTAGTTATTTCGAGTTTGACAGATTTTACTTCTTTCATCCTCAACTAGCAGGTCTTTTACAGAACATCACTGTCTTCATGGCATGCCTGAGCGTCTTTCTTACTAAGTCGGGTTATCATTATTGCACTCTGGACATGTCCATAATTGCTCAGTCCCTCCCCTCAGTATGAACCCCAGCGCCTGATGGCTAATAGTACCAGTTATATGTCGATTAACAAGTCCTCTTATGTGCCTGTTGTGCATCTCTTTTTTCACTATGCCAATCTTAACTCCCAAGTCTGCCATTCTGGTGCGTGATGTAAATTCTCTGTCCCCAAAGTCCTCCACCCTTCCCATTTCTTGGAGGGTATTAATAACATCAGCATGATCTCCCTTTCTCTAGCCAACTCTCAGGCCTGATGTATTGCCACAGCCAATGCACCTTTATTGTTTTACTTGTATAGTTTATGCAAATATTGACAACTTTTTAACTCTCCAGATGATAGTGTCACATTGTGCGATATTGAGAAATTATCTTTACCCCAATATAAGATGCAGTTTTTTGTTTTTGTTTTCAAAGTCCCACCCTGGTTGTCGTCAGGGGTTCTAGTATAACCAAACGATTGGACTGGGTTACTAGGATTTGTGCCCTGAGATTCTCATCTGAATGATGACATTTTGTGTCACCAGGTGTTTATCGCTCGTTGTGCCATCCCAGTGGGGTTGAACTTGACTAGTAAAGAGACCTGCTCATGTCCAAAAAAAAAATTTTTGACAGAAAATACTAGGGCTGTACCGAATATTCGCTTCGTATTCGCTTCGGGGCCGAATAGTGGACCTAATAACTATTTGGTATTCGGCCGAATAGTTGTGGTCGGGCCGAATACGAATAGTGGTTACCTTACACCCGTTTCTGGACTGGTGGAAAATAAACATATCAAGATTTCCCACCTTGGTTCATACTGTCAAGCGTTTTCTTTGTGCATCACCTACGAGTGTACCAAGTGAACGTCTGTTTAGTACAGCTCGAATAGCCTTCAGTGAGACGAGAAGCTGCCTTAATGCTGACAACATTGAATGATTTTTTGTGTGTCTGTGGGGAAGCTAATGCCGCTTTTATGGATTAGCTTAGCTGTCAGTAACAATTTACAAGTTTAGTTACTTGTTATAAAACTAAAAATACTTTCATTCCTAGGTATTAGTTACTACAGACTGACTGACTGAAGGATGCAAAACATGAAATGTTTTTAAATGTTTACTATTCTGTACTACATTTTGTGAAGTAAAATTTCAGCGCACATTTGACATTATGGATGTTTTTTTTTTTTTTTTTGCATACACGAAAGTGAACGAATGGGCCTCAGTTTGAATAGAGGGAAGACAGAAGTAATGGTAGTATCAAAGAAAATAATTATTCCTAAATGTGTAATAAAAGTCAATGGTTTTATTTTGGGACAAATTCAGAAATTTAAGTATCTGAGCACATGGATAACATCAGATGGAAGATGCATTATTGAAATAAGAAATAGAATATGACAGGCAAAAACTTCATTTTATAAAGTGAAGAACGTCTTATGCAATATATCTTTGTCATTGAGGGTTAGAAAAACAATTCTTGCTTGCTACATACATCCAGTTTTAACAAATGGTTGTAAGTCCTGGACAATTGGTAGGCAGGCCAGACAATTTCTTGAGGCCTCAGAGGTGTGGTTTTACAGAAGAATGCTTAAAATACCTTGGATAGCAAACAAAAACAAAAGCAACCAAGAGGTTTTGATAGAGGTGGGAGCCCGAAGATAACTACTCACAGACATCAGAAGTAGACAGTCATCATCTTTTGGCCTATTTTATAAGATGAGGGAAAATGGAACATGTGGTGACCACTGGAAAGACATGTTGAAGGAGGGATAGAGGAAGACCACGAGAGAAGATTCTTGAGTCTTGTTGCATAGCATGGAGGTGTGTCAGCACACGAACTAATACATGCTTCAGGAGATCACAGATTGTGGCAGGCATAATCGCCTATGCCAGTTGCCAAAGCACCTGATGATGATGATTCACTATTCCTATTCGTATTCGGCCGAATAGTTATTTCAGCTATTCGTATTTGGCCGAATAGTGAAAGTCACTATTCGGTACAGCCCTAGAAAATACCCAAGATTTCGGGATAATTCTTCTCATTGTATATATTTAATGTGCTTCTCTGACACTCATCTCTCCATCTGTCTGAAATCATCTTCTCCTTTTTCTCCCTTTCCTTCCTGAGAATGGTACCCTGTTCCCATGAATCCACCTTAATACCTATAACATTCATGTTTTGCTTGCACACATCATTAATCAAGAGTTTTCAGTACCAGGGTTGGAAATCTGTAAACATTTTGATAAAAGATCACTCTATCTTGATTTTGAGAATGGTATGGACATCGTACCAATCAGAGAGCAGTAGCAAACTTATGAACATGACGTTCTCTGGTAGAATATTGAATCAGGAATCAACATCACAGCACTTGGGACATTTCCATAAGTGCTCCATCCCGATCTTCAGCAGCAAATACAGTTCCAACACTGATGTTACTAGTAACAGGCTGATTGTATATGTGTCTCACCTTTCCCCTGAGTGTTGATTGGTAGCCAGATCAACTGGTCACTCCTCTCAGCAGCATTTTCTTCAGACCATAATGATCTATTTTTGCCTCCTGGCCGTTCTTGCCCCCAAAAGATACTTACTATATCTGAATTGCCATGTCTCAAAGGCATAGCATTATGTGTAGTTAAAAAAGTAAAGGCATACGGATCTGTGTAGTTAGAAAAGTAAAGGTATACCATTATGTGTAGTTAGAAAAGTAAAGGTATACCATTATGTGTAATTAGAAAAGTAAAGGCGTACCATTATATGCAGTAAGAAAAGTAAAGGCGTACCTCTATATGTAGTTAGAAAAGTTAAGGCATGCCATTATGTGTAGTTAGAAAAGTAAAGGCATATAATGAAAAGCGAAGACGTTACCTGGAGATAGATCTAGGAATGGGCTTGAATGCACTTTGAAGATGCAGGAGGAAGGGGTTGTTTGTTTTGTTTTGATGATGATGATGAATAAATGTATGTTGTTGACATTTTAAAATCATTAGTCAAGAATTCAAGGATCGAACCAGAAAACACTCTGCTGCCTGTGCTGTAAGTCTGGACCACTCCAAGCCACATTCCATGTTGATAGAAGTGGATATGTACCAGGGGAAGCGATACAACTGTTTGCTGAAATAAGTAATGGTACTGACAGAAAGATAGATAAAACCTATGTAGATCTGAAAATGGTAAGTTATTACAAATTGTAAACATGATTTTTTTTATTTGTGATATTGCATGTCTAAGAGACTCATAGCAGATAGTGAAATAGACTATGCCCCACGTTTGTTATTTTAAAGCCCCAGTCTGGCTGTTGTCGGGGGCCCTAATATAACATAACAGTTGAACAGGGCTTTTGGAACTTGTTCCCAGGTGATTTTCGTCTGAATGGTGGCACTTTTTGTCACCGGCTGTTCATCACTCATTGTGTTGTCCTGGCAGGGTTAATTGTTACTCACTCAAATAGGAAAATTACAAGTGCTTTTTTTTTGTTTTTTGTTTCGTTCAAGCTAAGTCTTTATTTGGAGCCATATTATTGCAACTTACCTGCTGGCACAGTGGTCATGTGTCTCTAATATATATCAGAATCCTATCCCAACATTGACCTGCAGGTTACTTTTAACATTAGTGGCACACATATATAACTGTGCCATATGGTTCAACAGGTCTTTGGCATTTGCTCCTGTTTGATTCTCATCTTTCAGGCCTAAATCCTAGATTCTCATCCTTGAGGTGTTAATCCCATGGATAGCAATCCTGGAAGGCAAAAAGTGTCCACCTCAGTGTGTCTGTTTCTCTTTCATATCAGAGATCTGTTTTCCCATGACCTGGGCTTCTAGATATGCCTAGCCTATAATGTGTTCCAGGAAATTTGCTGAAAGGTAAAGCCAGTTTGTGTAGCAGTGTCTGCATCCTCACTCAAGTGCCAGTTGGTCAGTAAAATATTGGACTGGCACCAAAGGCTGCAAACTTTAGTTGCTTGTTTAGACATTTCAAATTAGAAAGAACTTACTTCACAAATGTCTACAGACAAAAATGACAGTTGGGAATATTATCTAAGAGTTTGTCATCTATTGTTGTTGGCACCATTCTGTCTCTCCATACGGCGGTGTTATTTTGCACTATGAGGAGGCATGAGATTTACAGCCCATAATGATGGCGAGTGTGACGAGCTAGACCCACCCATGTTAAAAAAGTCTTCCACAATTATAGAATGCGATTTCAGGACCATGGTTGCTAACATTTGTGTTTAGTTTTTCTTCTCAGACGCTCAGCTCTCAGCCTTTCTGCAATAATTTCTTCCTTTATTCTCATTCCCTTCCTGATGTGCCCCCTCAAAGCAACACTGTCGATGGCATTTTATTCCAACAAGTCCTCTTCAATACCTGTATCATTCATATTCTGCTTGCACACATCGTCACATTCTAGGAGAGGTCGGCCTCAACATCTTCAACCCATTTGTAATAACCATGAAGGATGTCCATAGGGACTCTGCTATTCTCTATTCTCCAGGTGGGACCCAGCCGCCTGAGCTTTTGTAGACTGAGCATTGAGAAAACTGTTGTAATACCTGTTCTTTGCAGCTGGTCATCTATGTATCTTTGATAATACAAATAATACTGTCATATATTAAGATCGATGAAAGCAGGTACAAATATCTGACAGCCTTGAGGTTGCTGGCACCTTTCCATCTTTCTAGGCAGTTGTGTTATATTTGAGAATCACAGCTCATGGTAATGAAGAGTGTGACTTGCAAGACCCACTGATATTTTTATTTTATGGTGAATTGGTTTTACAACCTGGGATTCTGATTTTGTCTCAGCTCCAACCATCTATGAAGCTCACAGGCTGTAGCAGATCAGCCCCTTATTGGCTGGTGGCTGCCCAGTTTACGGCATGCGGTAGCTGATCAGTGACATTGGAAAATGTCTCCCACTGTCAGCGAGGCAGCTCCTGGTGCGCACATCTTCACCAGTTGACAAGGACTGATGACCCATAATGCTGCCTCCTCATTTGCTTCCCAAACCAACTAAGGCCAGGGGTTAAGTTTCTTCTCTCCATAGCACAAAGCCTGGGCATTACTGTAGAGACCATGTGTTGCAATAAGGTTAGCAGTGATTTTTAAATTTGATTCTGGATTTGACATCTGAGAAAAAGCATTAAAAAAAAAAAAGACCAACGTAAAGCAACATGAGTTTCAGCTTTTGTTTTCTGTTTATTGTGATCACCTGGAAAAGAAATTTTAAACAACATCTTATATTTCTTTTATATCCGCTGGGGGCTGCGTGGTCTCAAGGTATGATGTCCGCCTCAAATGCTGGAGTCCTGGGTTCGGGCCCTGGTGATGGCCGGGATGTTTTTATGTTGACTTCTAGGAATTTCCCCTGGTCTCTGGTTAGTGAGATCGAATGCCCATTTGTATTGTTGCTTGGCCATTGGAAACCAAATAGAGTAGCCTAACGGTACTGCCTGGGCAAAACTTGAAGTTAAAAATCTACAGAAAGTATTTCCAGATCCTCGCCAGTGCTACAGAGCTTGTGCACTGCGCTGAGATTCTTCGGACTCAGACTTGAGTTATAAGTAGAACGGAGCACTTATGGGTTACTACACATGTACCATATGTTGATCCGTTGTTCAAATCAAATCAAATCTTGTTGTTATTTCTCTTAAAATATTTTGTTTTGTTCAGTCTTTAAAAAAAAAGGTTTCTTTTTATCCTCCCATTTTCATTTTGCTGCACCATTTCACTAAAGTGTTTGGAAGAAAGTATTATCTGAGACATTATGCCATCATTGTCATCTCTCATGAGCTGAACTTTGATGCTGTAATTGAAGTTATGTATAGTTGTCAGTGTTCAGATAGTTCTTTCTGGGGAGCAATTAGTAAGTGAAGTAAGTGGCTCTTTTTCGTGCCACGGGTTGCACATACATATATATGAAATAATTTTCAACAACAGTTTCAATTTCTTTGATTCATAACATTTAGATACCATTATACCATGCTAACATATACAATTCTTGATTCACACATCATTTAGATAACAGTATATCATGCTATCGGGAGATCCAAAATGCATGTCCAAGAAGTTGCCCGTGTGACCAGACCTGGATTTGAAGCTCATGGGAGTGACCAGTGGAATGGGGAAAAACTTGTGGTTCCTCCCTTACCACCATCATTTTTAGCCGGATGCAAAATTATTGATGTCCGGTATATTTTGCAGGTCTGAAATTCATACTTATTAACTAAACTGTAGGTGTGTGGGCATGTATACAATCTGTGTGTGTGACTTCTTTGTCTGTGAGGGGAATCTTCTGGGTTATCTTTATTTCTGTTCATTGCTGTCTAGGTAAGTATTAAGACCACCCCCCCCCCCCCCCCCCCCCTCTCCCCATCTTTTTAAAGTGTAAGACAGTCCCGATCAGCACAAGAAGGAAACATTTCATGGAAAACGTATTCAGTTTCACTCTGTGCTACCAGTGCCAGACATGGTCACTCACAACAAACTAAAAAAGGAAAATTAGTAACCGTGGAAATGAGAGAAGGTACACGAGAAACCGTAATATACTCTGGAAGAGATGATAACCTACATTCTGCAGGCGTGGCACTTATTTTAAAGAAAGGTATAAACAAACATCTCATCGAGTGGCATCCAATCAATGAAAAAATAATGACAGCACAATTCAATGGGATACATGCCAAACTTACAGTCATCCAATGCTACGCACTGACTAATGAAGCTGAAGATGAAGATAAAGAAACATTCTATAGGAGACTGCAAGAGGTAGTAGATAAAGTACCAGCCCATGATATTCTATGCATTATAGGAGATCTCAATGCAAAAGTTGGTAACAACAACTTGAAAAGAGTACTATCAATGGGAAATCAAGGATGTGGTACAATTAATTACAACGGGAAAAGACTGAGCGACTTCTGCACGGCGAATAGACTTGTTATAGGAGGAACACTATTTCCTCACAAGAATATACATAAGCTTTCATGGATATCCCCAAACAGAAGAGATGTAAACCATATTGACCATTTCATGGTAAACAGAAAATGGCGTGGGTCCCTACTCGATGTGCGTGTCAAAAGGGGAGCAGATGTGGGAAGCGATCATCACCTTGTAGTCGCTCTACTACGACTTAAACTCAAAAAAGTTTACACGCAAGTTAAGACACAGACAGCACGTTACAATGTTACCCTTTTAAGAGAAAAAGACATTGCCACTAAATTTATAGTAGAACTCAAGAATAGATTTCAAACCCTATCAAGTGACCCAGAAACTCCAACTACAATCAGCATTCAAGACAGATGGAACCAGATCAAAGAAACATACAAATCAACTAGCAATAACATATTAGGAACCAGGAAACAACACCACAAAGAATGGATAAGTAGTCAAACCATGGACTATATTGACAAGCGAAAAAGAATAAAGAGCCTCATAAATCACACTAAATCAGAATGTCAGAAACCCAAACTAATGTTAGAATATAGCGAACTAAATAAAATGACCAAGGAAAGTGCCAGAGCTGACAAGAGAAGATTTATGGAAAATCTTGCAGAAACAGCAGAAAATGCTGCTAAAGCACATGATCTACAAACCCTACACAAAATTACCCAGCGAATTTGCGGAAACAGAAACAATTATCACAGCATACCCATCAGAGATAACCAAGGCAGACTGCTCACCACAGAACAAAAACAAGACATGCAGTGGACTAAACACTTCTCCGACCTCTTGAATAGACCTGATCCTGAAAATCCCCCAGATATTCAACCAGCCTCTCAGGACATTGACATTATTACTGAACCACCAAGCAAACAAAAATCCTTAAAGCTATCCACACTTTAAAGAACAACAAAGCACCAGGCAAAGACGAACTGCCAGCAGAACTTCTCAAAGTAGATCCCAACACAACAGCTAGCTTTCTAGAACCATTGTTTAAGGATATTTGGGAAAAAGAAGTGTTGCCTGATGACTGGACTGAAGGAACAATAGTCAAAATCCCCAAAAAAGGAGACTTAACAGACTGCAATAATTGGAGGGGAATTACTCTACTTTCAGTACCAAGCAAAATATTTTGTAAAATCATCATAATGCGGCTTGAAAAAGGAGTAGGTAAATGCCTACGAGTGGAATAAGCAGGATTCAGAAAGGGCAGAGGAACAACTGAGCACATCTTCGCCATACGTAACATTTTAGAACATTGCAACGAATGGCAGAGAAGTATATATATTAATTTTGTGGACTTTGAGAAAACTTGACAACGTCCATAGAGACGGTCTGTGGAAAATTTTACAACATTATGGAATTCCAGAAAAAATAGTCAACATAATTGCTCTCTTCTATAGAGACTTTTCCTGCAGTATAAAAAATTACAATACATCTTACCCAGTAAAGACGGGTGTAAGACAGAGATGTGTTATGTCATCTCTCAACCTTGTGATTGATTGGATACTAAAGAACACAGTAGACAGGACATTAAGAGGCATACGATGGACTCCATTCACCATGCTTGAGGACCTTGATTTTGCAGATGATATAGCACTCCTATCACAAAAACATGAATATATACAAGAGAAAAGTAACAGACTAAATTGCACAGCAGAAATGGTGGGACTGAGAATAAATACAAAGAAAACTAAGATCATGACAAACAGTCCAAACCAACAACCAGTGACCATAAGTAACCAATCACTTGAAAATGTAGAACATTTCACATATCTTGGCAGTGTGGTGTCCCTACTGGGAGGGACAGAGGAAGACATACAGTCACGCCTGAACAAAGCCAGAGCTGCTTTTGGAAGGATGAGGCAAATCTGGAAATCCAACAATTACTGCAAAGGAACGAAACTCCGACTCTGCAAGAGCATCATTTTGCCAGTTCTTCTTTATGGAACGGAATGCTGGAGAATGACCAAAAGGGATGCACACAAGCTGTCCACCTTCCACCACACATGTCTACGTAGAATTATCAAAATTTTCTGGCCAGATACAATCTCAAACACTAAACTACTTCAAGCCACAAACCAAGAAACTTTAGACAGTATGATTACCAAGAGAAGATGGAAATGTCTTGGCCACGTTATGAGAATGACTTCTGATATACCTGCCAAAACAGCTCTCACATGGACACCAGAGGGAAAGAGAAAACAGGGGCGCCCAAAAACAACATGGAGAGGAACGATGGAAAGTGACCTGAGTGCGGCATCTTTGACATGGAAAACTGCACTAAAGATTGCACAGGACAGGAAAGCATGGAAAGTCCTCTCTGAAGCCTCATGTGCCACTAGGCATAACAAGAACTGATGATGGAAATGAGAGATGTAGAAGAAACGCTGCAGGAGTGACCAGAAGAGATAAAATCAGGAATATGATCTGCACAGAACCGTTCAAAGCTGCTTACAAAAAATAGCCAATGAAATGATGCCCACTTAGAAACAAGGCCTTGTAATGCCATACCATATAAGGCATACACCAAAAGAGAAGGACATAAAGGTCAAAGTAGACCAAGAATAAGATAGATAACATCTGGGAAACCACAACAACATGATGTGTCTATGGCCAGAGTGGCCAAAAGAGCAAGAAGCAGACACCCGAAGTAGTTAAAGATGATGTGAAAAAGAAGAAGACATTGCCTAGGTCAAGCTGAATCACATCATTCAATTTGCCATGCCGGTTCCCATGCCTCATTGTGAGGAAAACAAGAATAGACCCACTGCTTCCCCAAAAGCATGTCTTAAGAGTCGACTAATTGGGGGGTTCCTTCAAAGTCAAAGTGCATCTCCCTGAGAGATAAGGAACCAACAGTCTGCATACAAATGAGTTAGGTCTGTGAAACAGATTTGCATGCAACACTAAGGTTCTGGAACAGGACTACTAGAGTCCAGAAGTGGACAAACAACCAGAAGTTAACAGCTGGTGAAAGCGAAGAAGAAGATATCATTGATTCAAAGGGAATCAAGATGAGATAGTAAAGCTGATGCTGTGTAACTCTCCCTAAATGAAACTCAGTTCATGTGCAAGTTAAGATTTTGCTTATACACAGACAGACATACCCACACGTACACAATTGTACATTAAGTCTTTAGAATTATATGTATTTTGTTTCTTCTAACCTCACATTCTGCCAAGTATTGCTAACAGTATTTTGTAAACCTGCAATATGAATGACCCCTTAGAAAGCAAAAGACAAGTAAACATATATTCTTCTTGTGTATGGGCATGCTGCATGTACATAGAAATACACATACACACATTCCCCCTAACTTTATAGGGAACTGTAAATATACCCAAAAACACCTGCATGTATGCATGTACAAACAAATCCAAATGGAGAGCAATACGTGCTCACACAGATACACGTAAAATACATTTTTTTCCTAACTATATGCTGAATTGTAAATGCACACACATACTCCCACAGGCAAACACACGCTTTAAATTCATCATCATCATGTAGCAGGTCCATTGCAGAATGTCGCTGTCATCACTGTCTGCCTGAAAGAAACTCAGTCTCTAGCAAGCTGTCCTGCTTTGTGCCCTTTCATATTCAAGCAGCCATTTATATTATCCTGTGCCTATCTTCATGCTGGTCGGCCCCTGCCCCTCCTTCTTGGTACCATGCCTTCTGCTATTATTTTTCCAGTCCGCCATCATGCTTGATATGACTAAAATATTTTTGCTTCGGAGTCAAGATGCTGTTTATCAGCAAATCTTCTTTGATGTTCAGATCTTTTAAAATGTCAGTATTTCTTCTTTTCTTTGTCCATGGTATTCTAAGAAACTTTTGAAAAAGTGAAAGTTTTTCAGCTCAAAAGCCCCTATTTTCTTTCTTAAGGAATCGGAGATAGTTCATGACTCACATCCCTATATTGCCACAGGAAAGATAAAAGCTGTCAGAATTTTAAAGCACATGTCTTTGCTGGTGCTCAACCATAGACTTTTAATGCTGTTCAAACTTTGCATTGTTATGGCCATTCTTCTTTTGATTTCTTTCAAACAGTCTCCATTGCCATTTATTATAGAGCCTAGATATTCTAAGTCTATGACATTTTCAATTTCATCATCATTTATTGTTATTTTGTCTGTGGACATTATTTTCATTTTCTTTAAATTCAGGATTTGATTTTGTCTTCACAGTGTTTTTGGACAGACATGGTTAAATTTTCTATTCCTTTTACATTGTTTGAAAGGAGGACTGTGTCGTCTGCATAGTGCAGTTCCAGAATAGGGTTGCCACCAGTTGTGAGTGGTTCATAACTGTCACAAGTCTGGTCATTTTTGTCATTTCACATATATAATGAATAGTTATGTGAGATAATACACCCCTGCCTTACCCCCTTTTGCACCTCGAACCAGCTGCTCAGATGGCTGCGTATTGTTCATAATATAAATTTTTAGTTGAATGCATCAAATGCGCTGGAAACCCCGTACTTCACATAATACTTTACATTTCTGATGAAACAATGCCTCTGCTATAATCAATGAAACTAACATGAAGATCTACGCTGTATTCTCCACATTTTTCAAAAACTATTCTCATATGAAAGATGTGATACCTAGTTCCTATGCCTTGTCTGAAACCTGCTTTTGCTTCATGTAGCTCATATTGTAGTTTCCTTTCAATCCTTTCAAGTCTAACTTTAAGTTAGACATTATAGTTTTAGCAGTCATCATTAAAATACATAGTATTAAATAACATATTTTCAAAGTGTGTTTTAATTTTCCTTCAACAGCTCAATGTGGATCCATCTGGACCTTCATTTGACCTTGAAGTTCCCCTGGAGATTCTCATTGGCACAATTCCTTTAATGTCAGTGGTGCAGCAGTTTCCTCCCATGCCACCTCTGCCCCCGCCAGGCTACAGTCCGTCTGCACCTCCACCCGAGGCATTTTATCCTACTGCTCCACCAATAGGCCTACCAGACATGCGTAAATATTTTTTTAAAAATAAATTTTCATCATCAATTTTATTTTACTGAATTTAAAAAAAGTGTATACAGTTTAGGCAACTATGAACCTCTTTTAACTACAGTGAAAAGGCGAAAAATGCAATGGTATGGACATGTAGTAAGATCTAACAGCCGCTCAAAAACATACTGCTGGGCTCACTAGAGGGACAGAGGAGAAGAGGCAGACCAAGAAAGACCTAGTTACAGAACCTGACTGACTGGACAGGCCTCAGAAATGCAACGATGAAGTCCATCGCAACTGACTGCCAAAGATGATCAGACAACAAAAACTGGTGACACAACGATACATACTTTTACGGGATGATGATGTATACAGTTAACTTCAAAATCTACAATAGTTAACTTCTATATTTTGTCTAAATTTTTACAGGGCTAGTAAGGAAAGCAAAGAATCATAATTCTATAACACACATTGAATGTGGTAAGAGGAGACTTACAAAAATTAGTCGTGCTACCTCATACTATTCAAGTCTTTAACTGCAAAATCCAACCCAATATCATGTCTGCAAATTGTGTGAGGGCTTATACATCATTGGCAGTTAAGTGGCAGAAGAAGTAGAAGAAACCTCTACGTTGCATGCCAAATAATGAGGAATTTTCTCTTCTTTGTGTTCAACTGCAATAAACTCTGATGGAAAGTTCTGGTTGTTCTTCCACTTGTGGACTTTAGTCTTGTCCCAGAACTTGCATTTCATGCACATATACATTCTGCAGATCCGACTTATTTGTGTGCGAACTGTTGGTTCCTTATCTCTCAAGCAGATGCTATCTGATTTTGAAGAAAATACCCCTTACTAGTTGAATTTTATGACATGCTTGTAAGAGGGGCAATTGGTGTATCCCCCCCCCCCCCCCCCCCCCTTTTTCCCTCATTGGATCCCTAGGACCCACACTGTAAACGAGGATTTTAAATTATGATAGTTTGAAAGATGCCTCAATTAAGTTCCTAGACAAGGTATTTTATTCAAACCAGTCAGGGCCCAGAAGATGAAGTTAGGCCTTGTTTGTGAAATGTAAACTCTTTCACCAATGGACAGTTTGGATGTTATCTACAACAAAGAAATGAAACTGCATTTTAACAAATAATTGAGGAAACAGATAGTAGAACACATATATGCACATGTGATCTCCTTCATATTGAAAGCAAATAGGAATTCATTTCAGTTGCTGATGGCATTTATAATAAATGTAAAATAGCTGAAAACTTGAATGCTTAAGTCAAGGAGTGGGTAAACCCCAATGAATCATATCCCACACATTGCTTATCCTGAGCCTGATTTTATACATGGTTTTGCATAAAACCATGTGGTACTGATGATGCTACAGTGCATTAGTGAAGTAGTTTTAAATAGCAGGTGGTGAGTTGAGCTTGACAGATAGTTGTTGTTCATGGTCTCAAGTTCCTCGAAGGTAGACAGGATCACACTATAGAAAATGGCTGATAAGAATTAGTTTCATTTTTGTGCCAGGACACTCTGTGGACAGGGAACAAATGAGCAGAATGGCTTGCTGGCAGGGCCACAGTAGGTACAGGAAAAGCAATGGACCGGGCCGGCATTCTCAGTGCTCTCAAGGAGGCAGGACAAGAAGATGATTCAGCAGATGCTGAATCGGCAACACTCAAAAGACTACGAGAACTTCAGGTCAAAATGGGTGTTGGCAAACAAGAACACTATTTAGGTAGCCGAAGAAGAATAGTAAACCAACACAGAATTGGTGTTATCAGTCACCACACTCTGAGGGATATACTGAAGATGGGATCCAAACGCTTATGTACAGTGATGTACAGTGAGGATAATCTGTCAAATAACTATCTAACTAACTCTATAGTGACAATGGCCACAGCCAACTGACCAGTATGGTCACTGTCAAGAGGGAAAACAATGGCAAATTATCTTCTTCAAGATGCCAGGAATAGTCATTATTTAAAAACTTAACACAGAGAATATCATGGAATGATATGTAACATTTCATATTCATGTAACATTAATTTCTCATCTATAACATGCCTTCTTGTGACAGGTGATAACCATAAATAAATTAGAGAAATTTGTAGTAGGCAGTCAGTTTTTTTTTAAAAATGTTTTGAGAAGGAATAGACTTGAAAGATTGATTGAAAAAGAGCAATGGGAAGGCAGTAAGGTGGGGGTGAGGATGGGGATAGGGGTGAGGCCAGATCAATGACCTGATGTATGATTCTGGTGATCCTTTGAGATGGTGAAACATGATAGCCTACACTTATTCACATGGTACATGATGATAGTGGTGACTTTTATATATTATCAATGTTGTAAATGTATTGTGTAATTCTAAAAAATAGTTGTTCTCTTCTTCTGTTTTCTTTTAGCACCCCCATCTTACAATGAATGTATCACTGGCAAAGTCAGCATACGTGAGGAGGGCGACAATGAACATACTGGAGGAAATTTGGACTATGCACCTGTCTATCCATACTACAACTGGGGACACACACCAGGTGCTTTACCTGAGCAGTCTGGGAAGCAGTAGACATTCTGCCAACTTTTGAGAACATTCAAATATTTTTATATTTTTCAGTGTTGCCATTAATGAATGGTGCTGTGTGTTGCTACTGAAGCTTACTTACATCTTTATACAGCTAATTCATCCATACCTACGCAAACTAACACCTCTGATTTACACCCAGGGGTTGTGTATTGTAATTATTGTCTGCTCATTTATCAGTTTGCTCATTGTGGTGTTTTCAAAATAAATCTGTCTTTCCACACTTTTATTATAATTAATAATCACTCACCAGGGCATTTTCCTAGAAAAAAAGTACAAATGCTATCAACAAAGTGTCTTTAAAAAAGGGTAAGGGGACTGCATACACATGTCCACTACAGCAGCAGTGAAAGAAAAATGATGTCTTACAAAAAGTGCTGATACTTCCTACTTCCAGAAAAAAAAAATCCTTTTGTCACCTTTCTGGAATTGGGGTGTATAGAGGAAACAAAGAATATTAGCCCTGTGGCTGGAATGTAACTTGCATGAATGTCATGATATAGAAAATTATAGCTGTAAAATTCAAGCAAACATGAAAATTCTACAGGAAATGAAAGACAATTACCATGGCCAGCTAGGATAAAAGGAGGCTCTTCTCGTAGAAGAAAGAAATATGATACAGTGGGATACAGGGAAAGTTGAAATGAATCAATATTCCACTTCCTTTCACCTAGGACAGTATCTAGAATTTGCACCGGAAAAAGTTTGAACTAGGTGTGGTTTTTAAAAAGCACACAATTGCTAGGAAAATCAAATACAAAATAAGTGTATTTGGACTGTGTAAACCTGGCCTTGTCAGAAGTAATTTTCATTTATCTAACATCTGGTTGAACCTTCATAGTTATAATTCAGACATATAGTCTCTTTTACATTTTAAATGAATCCTTTTGCTATTATGTGTTTATATATCATATATTCGTGTCTTTCAGGCAATTCTAATATTTATATTGTTGTTATATGAATAATTATTCTGTCCATTCCATTCCTGTTTGTTATTTGAATGGAGAGTATATAATGATTATTTATATAGTGTTTTTTTTTTAATTGTTGCTTTTAAGTTAACAGATTTATTGTTCATGTTGATTGTATAGTTGTCATATTTATTTGTTGAGTCAATCGTTCTAAAAACAAATATAATTTTATAACTTGACTAAATGTTTGGGGGGAAAAAAAATTTGATTTTGTACGTTCCTTATTTTGTGTGTGTGATATTTAGCTAAAATCTTCACATCTTTATGGTTAAGTGATTTAGCTGCTTGCTTGCCCTCTGATTGGTTTGTTCCATGGACTGCATCATTAGGTTCATGAGGGCAATTTGTACGGTTCATTGCTGTGTAACTTTCAGCAGGTAGCTTGCTGCTCTGTCTAAAGATGTCAAGTCAAATCAGATGCAATAACTAATCCGGTCAACAAATGCCCGCAGAAGTCGGATGTGTTGGCTGAAAGGTGCAGGTATCGCAGCCATGCTGTAAATGGACACAACGCAATTACATCTTCGGATGAACGAAGAAGAAGAAGATGCAATAAGTCACTCCTGACATTAAACCTGTAAACCATATTTCTTTTTCTTCTCTGCGTTCGGTTCCATATGCTCAGATCAGACCATCAGGTGGGTTGCCTCTATGAACTCACATGTCAGCAGCAGGTCCTTCATGGTTCCTTATAGCTTGCTTTGCACACTTTGTTCTTGAGGCCAGGTGTCTTTTCCAGATTGTAGGAAGAGTGGGCAGGTCTGCAGAATGTGCTCAGGTGTTTGTGGTACTGTCTGACAGGCACACTGTGGGGACTGTATAATCTTTATTTTATGCGTGTGGTAGTTGAGCCTGCAGTGTCCTGTTGGTAGATGGAAAATTGTTTTATGTTGCTTTCTGTCGAGTTTGCTGATTAGGTCTCGTGAATGTTTGTTCCTTCCACATTTCCTTGTATTTTCCCTCGATAGGTGTCTATGTTGTTTCATGGATCTTTCTGAGTCGCCTGGAGGACTGATACGCATCCACAGAGAAAAACAATTCTGTTTTTATTTCCTAAAGTACTTTGGCTGAATCAATCATTGTTTGCTGCTCTGCTCAGAAGTTGTTGAGAATCTTCCTGAGGCGCATGAAGTTTCTAAACCATATTTAAGTTTAGTTACAAAAAAACTTCATCTTTCCATCCAACTCTCTGGCACAAAACAGTTTTTGTTGTCGTTCGTATTTAATTCCTCCAGCTAATAGTGGGCTATACAGAAATACCTTAAAGTTCGAAAATAATACGTTTTGAGGTGGTGTTTGAATTCCAAATTCAGTTCCAAGGTAATTTTACTTTACTTAGTCGCTCCTCTTCTACCTTGGGGTGTAGAGGTTTGCCAGAGAGATCGCCAGACGTCTCTATCAGCAGTTTTCTTTCTGGCTTTGTTCCATTCCAGTCCTCTGTCAGTTAGGGACTGTCGGATGTTGTCTTCCCAGCGCACCCTGGGTCGTCCCGGAGGTCTGGTTCCCTGGTTCTTAGCCTCCCATGCTTGCCATGGTGGCCGATTTTCTCCCATTCTGCATACATGTCCAAACCATCGTAACTGTGACTGATCTACTCGGGTTAGTAAGGGCTGGGTATCAAGATCTTGACGTATTGTCTGATTGCTGACTTTGTCCCTTGTCACTTGGACCACCTTTCTCAGGTATCTCATTTCCGAGGCCTGCAGCTGGCTTCTGTGAGCTGTTGTCATTGCCCATAACTCACACCCATAGGTCAGGATCCAAGGTAATTTTTCCAATTGAAATTATTGGAAACTAAATTCCAGGTCCAACAAACTCAGTTTTAAAATGTATTTTCCTAAAAATATAGTACACTGTAAATATAGTAACACATGATGATCATGTTTGAATATAAACATAAATAAATAAAAAGATTTAAAAAGATTGTATTTACTGTACCTTGATCAAAATGGTGATACAGCACATAGAAGTAGGGATGGGGGGGGGGGGGGGGGGGGGGGGGGGGGGGGGAGGGGGGGGTAGGAGATTATTGATACCGAAAGATTTAAATGTGTTTCTTATAAATCATTTATTAAAAAGCTCGTCTCTGAACTTGCTTACCATATTTGGAGATCTTTTGCAGTTTTGTCGAATAATTTGAATCATTCTTGGTGACAGTGTAAAAACATCAATATTATCAGTTAAAATTCATTATCTTCATCAAATGCCTTGTCAGTTGGCTTTGATAGTCATCCTTCTCAACATCATGTGTTCTTTAATTGCATAGTCACAGCCTTTTTTCTTCTAGGAAGAAAAGGGTGCTGGTACTCATCATTACGGTGTCAAAAAATGGTGCCGGTACACCACCACCAAGTGTCTTTTACAGTGCTACTGAAAAAGTGCCTTTAAAAAAAAAGTGTAAAAACCACATGCTGAAAAAAAAAAAAAATCCCGTGTAGTTTATGCAATGACAACCTTCCATATCACAACAAAAGATTTCAAGAATCTTCTCTTTATCTTTCTCTACCATTTCCTATAAATAAATCTTTCCAGTTGTCAGATATTTCAGTTTGTCATTTACTACTGCGGAAAAAAAATTAAACACATGACAATAGCTTTTTTTTTCTGATGTTTGTAATAAGCTGCCTTCCTGACATTTAAATTGCATTTATTTTATACTGTACTATTTATAATTTTGTTTCTATTATTTTTAAAGAATGAATTCATTTGTTTATCACAGATGTGATATTGTTATTGTGGTTGGTGGGCACAATATAAACAATTTACGTTATGCTGATGACACAGTCTTGATAGCAACAAGTCAGAAAGAATTACAGGAAATGATAGACATTGTGGTGTTAGAAAGTGGAAGAATGGGCCTCAGTTTGAATAATGGGAAGACAGAAGTAATGGTGGAATCAAAGAAACAAATTATTCCTAAATGTGTAATAAAAGTCAATGGTGTTATTTTAAGACAAGTACAGAAATTTAAGTATTTGGGCACATGGATAACATCAGATGGAAGATGCATAACTGAAATAAGAAACAGAATTGGACAGGCAAAAACTGCATTTTATAAAATGAAAAACATCTTGTGCAATATATCCTTGTCATTGAGAGTTAGAAAAAGAATTCTTGCTTGCTACATACATCCAGTTTTAACATATGGATGTGAATCCTGGACAATCGGTAGGCAGGCCAAACAATTTTTGGAGGCCTCAGAGATGTGGTTTTACAGAAGAATGCTTAGAATACCTTGGACAGCCAAAAAGAGCAACCAAGAGGTTTTAAAAGAGGCGGGAGACCGAAGACAACTTATCACTGACATCAGAAGGAGACAGTCATCATTTTTCGGCCATGTTATGAGAAGAGGGAAAATAGAACATGTTGTGACCACTGGAAAGATCTGTGGAAGGAGGGATAGAGGAAGACAACGAGAGAAGATGCTTGACAGTCTTGTTGCATGGCATGGAAGTGTGTCGGCACACGAACTGATACATGCTGCAGGAGATCGCGGATTATGGAGAGGCATGATCGCCCACGCCAGTCGGCAAGGCACCTGATGATGATGATGATGATGATGATGATATTGTTATCATGTTAATGCATATGTTATTGGAATAATTTCATATCAATTAGTAATACTTTACTCTTTCTAAATTGTGTATTCTCACTTATTGTATTTATCCTCATACTTTACTCTTTCCAAATTTGTTATTCTTACTTAATGTATTTATTCTCATACTTAACTTTTTCTAAATTTGTTATTCTTACTTTTATTTATTCTCATAATTGTTTCCGTAATTCATCCGTTTCTGTGTTTAGCAGTTTGAGGTCTCTTCTTTTTACAATCTGTTATGAAATATGATATTCTGCTATATGGCTTTTACAACTACAGTTTACTATATTCTCTCAAGACTTCACCAGAGCATGCATTGTTTTTGCTCACGTTGGACACTGCTGTATTTTGTTTGCTTGTTCAGTTCACTGTTATCTGTGGCAATGAATTTTGTTGTCATTTCTTTGTTTAATTTT